TTGTCGAGGCCCCTCTCTCTGAGCTAAGGCCAACACGTCGGTTGTGTCTGATGACGATTTTGACCACACATCCTGTGTCGTGTGACACAAACTTTGTGGCGTGTTAGTTGGTCATGCAACTTTTGCAACTGTTTAAAAACTTGAGCTTGTGGAAAGAACTTTGCTTTGGCTTCTGGTTTTGTCTCTTTCCCCTCCTTATCAGCACACATGACACAATATTGTCTGAGTAGCGACCCCTTTGGTTTGGTAGAATACTGCAGCGCCTTAGTGGCAGGTATAAATGGCTGCATCTGTGTGATGACGGCATGGCAGTGAGCAAAGCGACCACTGCAGCTAAATGCTGCCTCAGCACATTTGCGAAGGTGCGAGGAGTGAGAGACAGCCCAAACAGCAGTACCAGGTATTCTTAGGCAAATGCAAACCTCAGAAACTGCCTGTGGGGTGGTTGCCACATGGAAGTAAGTATTTGTCAGATTAGCGTTAGCATGCTGAACGTGTACATCCGCAGGTATTTATTCAAAACTCACAGGACGAGAATAGGACGAAGCTCTCCCTTTGTCTTCGGAACAAAGAAAAAATAACTGTCTCTAAAGCGGGGAGTATCACTGCTACAGCGTTGCTCACAGCCAAGCGGCGTGACCCGGAACTGCACCCGATGACCTGAAGCTGTTTACTGATTATAGCACGAGAACATGTAGATTCATACACCTTTATTGGAGAACAACAATGAAACACCTGATGTGGTAGCCTGAACATCTAACACACTCTTACAGGGAGAGACAACCTGAGACAGCAAAAACGGGTGTGGTGAGCTGTGGTTTCTGGCTCAGCTGCTGGGAGCAGTGGGAAGAATGGGTGTGGTTCTTTGGAGAAGTAGAAAAAACGGAATGTGACAGCATTGCATTATTTCTGCGCAGATGCTGTCCTCCAGATGTGGTGGTGTTTCCACGTTGTGTGGAGGAGGTCAGTGCCTTGGCAAAGGTCTGCCACAAGCACCGCCTTCCCATCATCCCTTTTGGCACTGGGACTGGCTTGGAGGGAGGGGTTGGAGCTGTGAAGGTGAGATGTTTGTGTGGTCATACTTTCTCCCACTTAGAACAGTTAACATCTTTAGTAACAACAATAACCAGCAGGATGTCGTCTTGGT